TTTTTGTGAAAGATATATATCCAAAAACAGACAGTAAAACGTTGCTAAGAGTTATGATGGACAGGAAGTAGTGGAGAGCCATTGTTGCCAACAATTTGGACTCAAAATCGGCACTGAGGAATTATCTGTCAAACAAAAGAATTTCATCAAAATCGAATGAAAACTGTGGAAAGGCATAAGCAACATCCGATCACACACACACACACATACATATTTTGAGAATTATAGATATAGATCAACATTTTTCAGCATTCCAACACTTTCCTCTCATAGCTGTTTTTAATAGTTTTATCATCTGAATGAGCCCGATTATATCTCAGTTTCCCAGTCCCCCAATCGATTACCTATACTCACCGGGGACCAAAAGCCTATATACGGATAGAAAATGAATTGAGTAAAGAGACAAAAATAGAACAAAAGCAAAGATACGTCTTCACACCGGATTTATTCAACCTTTACATTGAGATGATCCACAAAGAACTAAAAATCCTACCTAGGATTTATTGCTGGTGCACGCAATCTTAATATGCGATACACAGATGGCACTGTAGGAAAACTACAGGAACTCCTAGACAAGTAGGTAAAGGAAAGCGGAAAAAAAAGACTAACCATCAATTGCAAGAAGACGGAATGTATGGTTGTTAGCAAAAGGGGTAAATCAAGATTGAAGTTAAAAATTGGAGACATCAAGTTCAAGCAAGTCCAGAAAATTAACTATCTGGGACGTATTTTAACAGATAATGGGAAAATGACACTGAAATCCGAAGGCGCATCGGAATGGAGAAATGTTTTCCAAAAACTAAGCATTAAGATAGGAAAATATCGTTAAAAACAAAGAAAGTGCTGAACTGCTCTGTAATATTTAATCTCTTATATGGTTGTGAATGGTGGACTATCGCATGGGTAATGAACAGACTTGAAGCGGCAGAAATGTGGTTATACCGACGAATGGTAAGAATAGCATGGATAAAACATGTGATTAACGAGGAAGTCTGGAGGAAAATAAGGACAGCAAGTAAGTATATATTTACAATCAGAAAGATGCAGTTGAAATTTCTGGGGCGCATAATGAGGAAAGACAGTCTAGAGAATTCAACACTCACAGGATATAGGAATGAAATGCAAGAAGAAACATCTAGTAACCTACTACCAAGTTTATTGAAAACATGAGAGAACAGGGGCAAGAAGGGATGGTAAGGGATCAAAAGTTACTAGAATTACAAAAGGTAGGAAGTTGTGGAGAGCCATGATCACCCACGTCCTGAAAGGACTTAGTATATATATATATATATATATATATATATATATATATATATATATATATATATAAAAGAACCTTTCGGTGTAAGACTATAACTTCCTTTTTCATTATTAATGTCCGGACAAATGAAATATCTGTTTACTTGGAAAAAGCAATTTGAAACAAAAAAAATTAAAAAAAATTAAAAAAAAAACAATTTTTCTCTGCTTTTACATAACTGGTGTCGCTGTCAATGAAATTTGACGCACGTGAATAACAACAATAACGAATTTTTAATCAACAACAAAGATTATAATATAAAAAATTCTTACTTATAAATTCTAATTGTTTCACCTTGATTAAGTTACATGAGACTATTTTTCAAAATTATATATATATATATATATATATATATATAACTGTAGTTTTACCCGATGCGTTTCGTCCAATGTAGAATCTACATAGTAGATTTTTTCAAGGACAAAAACGAAATGAATTAAATAATACGAGAACAGATACATAATAGTATCGACGAACTCTGTCACGTCCACTACCCAGAACAATCTATCCCATCTAAATAATATCAAAATAATCACAAGTACTTCCAAAACCATTATGGATAGAATCAGATCCTCAAACACTGATAGCAATAATATTTCTGAAGCAGAACCACTACTCTCCCAAGCCAACGTACTCAACAATTATATCATGAAATAAAAAGAAAACGATTGAATCCGTCAACCCAACCATACAAACAATATTTCTACATGTGAAAATATTCTCTTCAAACATAAAGTAATTGACGTAATTTTTCAGTTGACCATATGATTATACAATAGCGTTTCTTAATTCTTTTAGTTGCTAACGACATTTTGTTGGTTGTTTATAGATACTTTGTTTCAATAAATTCATATGTATGTGTGTATGTGTGTGTGTGTGTGTGTGTGTGTGTGTGTGTGTGTGTGTGTGTGTGTGTGTGTGATTATTATTATAATTACTTTCTTTTTAAAAATATGATTCATCGAGACACAGGAAATTTTTAAAAATCTTTTAAATTACATCTAATTATAAATCTTAATGTTCTTTCTTATTTTTTTAATATATCTATATCTACATATATATATATATATATATATAATTATTTATTTTAAAAAATTTATAACATAAATATGTTATAAAATCACTACAAAAATAGCCATTTTGTTTCAACACTTTCAGTGTCTTATCAAGTGATGATGTTGAATTTAAAATAAATGGTTT